CACTTTGGACTTACTGCTCAGTTTTACTGTGAACCTAAAACTGCTCTAAAAAATTAAAGAGGAAAAGAAAATGATCTGGAAGTCCCACAGAAATTCAGAGCCTCCCCAGATCTCAGGCATCAAGAATGCTCTGTACCTAAGAGCCTAAAGCATTCCTTTGTGGGGGCCCAGATTTAAACAAGTTAAAGGGATACTTGGGACTGGAGAATTCCACGGGGAAAGTTCCTGTGGCCAGGATCCTGTGGTGAGAAAGGGGAGGCAACAGAGAGTGAGTGGTACAGGCCTGGGATCCATGCCCCTGCCCGCTAACATCTGGGTCCGTTCAGCCCTCACTGGCTCCCTTCTCCCTTCTTCACTGCATGGCATTGCTTTCTCCTCCCTCAGATCCGGAGCTTAGTCTTGTCCTGCCTCCTTTCACTCAGAACTTCTTACCTCTCCCATGAATGGTAAGAGCAAGACTGGCTCCTCTTTTCTTGTGTCTCCAGGGTGGCCTGGAGGGTGCTTAAGGCTTGGCAACAACGAACTGGCTTCAAGTGAGCATTGCACTATGTATTTATCTCTGTTCTACAAACATGCCTGGTCCTTGCAGAAACAGACCCTTTGGCAGTGAAGTGCCTTTGACCCACATTAGTCCCAGGAAATAGAAGAGATCTCCTTGGTGGTCTTGAGGCTTTGGGTGACTTGATTCTATTTCAATAAGATTCTGAGGGTTTTTCTGAATTCAGACTTTCCTAGCCCATTTTTTTCATTCATTCTTTCATTGATTCATCACGATTTTTAGGCCACTGGGGGCCCGACTGAGAGAGAAATGGTCTCTGGATCCCTACAGTCTTTTCACTTGTGTAGATCTGAGCTTGGCCACTTACTAGCCTGAGTGGCCTCGAGAAAGTCCCATAACCTAGACTATGAGTCTCAGGTGATCTTTGTCTTACCTCCTGGAATAAATAAGGAAATATATGTAAAATGCTAATCGAAATTCTGGGTACATGTGATTATTCAAAACCACTCCCTTAGCGTCAGTTTCTCTGTCAGGAACTCAGGTGCAGGTCTAGGTGGGCATAGCCACCATACTGGGCACTTACCCTGCGCCAGGTACTGTGCTGTGGACTGTGTGAACAGAGCCCCTGTTAATCTTCACAGTCACCACTTTGGCGGGTATTTTTATTGATACTTTAGAGAGCCTAGTGTGGGCTGCAGATTACTGGCCTCTGTGGCTCTGAAAGGCTCTTTCTACCAACTGACTGCTCTGTGTGACCTTTGATGGTCTCCCAGGACCCTGTCGGCTTTAACAACGCTCAGTGATCTGCCGAGAAGGGAGGTGTGAGGCTGATGGGGTGGGATGGGAGTGAGCGGCCAGGAGCGGGGAGTGAAACTTGTTCTCACAGCACCTGGTCTGGCTGAAAGGAAATCCGATAGATTTGTGTGTGTGTGCAGGCCTGTGTAGGTGTGGGTGTGGGTGTGTCGGCCTCTGTGTGTGTGTGTGTGTGTGTGTGCATGTGCGTATACAGCCCTGTGGCCTTCACTCTGGATCTGGTGGGGAGTGTTCCTGACTGGGTTGATGGGAGCACCAGTATTATTCTTATATAACCATTTCAAAGAGGTTTCCAGTAACAATAATGATAGTCAGTGGGGTTTCCAATGTTTAGAAAGAAAATGTGCCCAAAATTCTGAGCCTGGGGCACTGTAATCATAGCAGAGATTTTGTTCAAAGGCTGCCTTGCATGGTAGGAGTCTGACTTATCAAGACCTTCACCTTTGCTAGAGTCCAGTTCTTACCTCTCAGAAGGAAGGGGGGCCAGGTGGACTGGACACTTGCCTTTCTCCAGGCCTCCTAGCCTCTCTGGGTAGTGAACATTAGTGAACATCATTTTTTGCATTGGTTTGTGTGTATTGGGGGAAGGAGTTGGGAGCTGGAGGAAGGGGATGGACTGCAGGGGTCAGTGCCTTGGAAATCTCATTTTTGGCCTCATCCTGGGTGTTCTCACCTTCCCAGAATGAGCCAGTACATCATTGGTAATAGAGTTCACTACCTTGACTCATAATCCAACATGACACCCAATCTCTCTGAGCCTCAGTTTCCTCATCTGTAAAATGGGAATAGTCATAGGACCCATTTTACAGATTTGTGAAAATTAATGAGTTAGTAGAGAGCATTTAGAAGAGCACCTGGCAAGTTTAAGTGTCATATAAACTTGATGTTGCTGGGCTTGAGAAAAGGAAGAAAGGTCGCATCTCTAAAAAAGAGTCTAGAATCTTGGGAAGTTGGAGCTGTAAGTGGTCTGGTCCAAGATCAGGGTCACTGTCAGTGACTGCACAGAATTCAAAACTGTCTTCATCTCATGTCTTTCTCCATGGGGACTTTGTTTTCGGAACTCCAAGCCCAGGCTCACAGGCTTGGAAACTTCGCTTGTACAGAACTGCTTCTGACAGTTGCTGTCTCAGAGGCAGAAGGCTCCTGTATGAGTCAGGCTGTGACAGCTTCTCGGGTAGACCAGAAGCCTGTGCCAGGTGAGCTGGAGATGCCCACCCTCCTGCTGCCTGCCTCTCCCTGGGCAGAGCTTCCTCAATAGACTCTTTGTTCTCAGGACTCTGCCCAGCCCCACCCAGTCTTTAGCTCTCCCACAATCTGGGCTCCGATCTTCACTTAAACCACGAAGCCCTTGCATCAAACCACAAGAAGAAAACCACATGTCTTTTGAGTTGGGCTGTTTGTTTTTTCCTTCCTCTCTTCTTTTTTCCCTCTTCCCTTGCATCCCCACCCCAACATACACACACACACACACACCCTTTTATTCCACAGCAGTTTTCCCATCAGGAAGCTGACTCCTGGTTTCATAAAACAAGGTTGCCCAAGATTTTGTCCTGGAACACGTAAACAAAGGGGCGTCCAGAGCCCTTAGGACACCTGGGGGACCAGCTACCCTCTCTCCTGGACCCAGAGGCCTCACCTAAGCTGCTGTCCCAAGAACATGGCAGGTCTGAGTTGAGAGCTGCCTCAGGTCTGCAGAAACTAGAGCAGTGACCCAGCCTTGCACCTGGAGGCCTCTGCCAATGCCAGGCTTGTGGATTCCTGAGTCCAGTGAAGACTGTGGGGTTAGTGCTGACAGCCAGGCTCCCACTGGAGCTGCCCACACTCAGTGGACTTCTGGCCTAGGGAACACAGGCTGCCTGTCTTGGACTGTGGAGTCCTTTGCAGGGCAGGCAGGGAGAGACAAGGTGGATGGAGTAGGGGAAAATATTAGAGTCTCATTGGCTTGACTGGCTCTTTGGTCTGAATTCTCACTGAAGATGAGACAGCCCTAAAGTACTTTCTGCAGGAAAGAAGGTGAGGTGCCTTCAGAACAAAAGGATTCAAGGCACTGCCCCGAAGTCGCAGTGGAGGGTGGGATGGGCTTTACCAGGGGTCATGGATTCAAATACTTTTTGGGCCCAGGCAGGTAACTAACTACACTTGCAAAGGGCCAGATGTAATAAAACACATGGCAGGCTAGACAAATAATTTAAATTTTAAAATTCTATTTTTGAAACATTATTGTAGCCAAATAAAACTTACTTCCTGTGCTGATACATCCTCCCCTGCCCCCAGGCTGTGAGTTTCCAACCCCCGTGTATACAATTCACAGTTCTGCTATTCTGACACAGAAGGCATCTTAAAGAAAAGTAGCAGAGTATCTAAATCATGGCCCTAGGTTGGGCGTTGTATTTTAACCACAGTTAAAAATACAGGCTTTGGTGTCCACCCATGGCATTCATTCCTCGTTTTAGCTGTATGATCACTGGATAGGTTGCTCAATCTGACTAAGTCTCAGTTTCCTCATCTGCAAGATGGGGACGACAAAAGAATCCATCTCATGTTGTGATGAACCCCCTCATATAGCAGGCATAGCTCAAGAAGCGGTGATGGAGATATTCTGCAGCCCCTCTTCCAGCAAACCCACACAAGGCTGAATGTCTTTTGCCAAAGAGCACCTGTTTGGTGAACGGAGGGTTCATGTTTTCTGTGGTTCTGGTCTGCGGCAAGAGAGGTGAGCATCAGAGTCAAGGTCAGATCTGCATGGGCTGGTCCCTTCTCAGTGCACACAGAACAAAAGCTCTTTTTGCAGTTGGGCTGTTAATTTTAAGTTCAGTAAAGGAAGGCTGGTTGGGGAAGTTCTTGGTTCTTGGTTCTTGAAATTTCCCTCCAGACCTCCAGTGTTCACCTCCAGCTGGGGGTGCTTGACCCATCTGGATCAGTAGTGGCCTATTGGCCCTGATCTTAGCAGAAAAAGCTGGTCTGCCCAACACTGAGGAGCCTGGGGGTATGGGTAGGGGAACCTGTCCAGTTCCCTAGAGATATTTGAAAGAGGGGCTGGACTCGGCTTCCTGAAAAATCCCATCTCCCCAGGACCTGTGCTCTTGTTACTCGGAAACTCCTTGAGGTTGGAGACCACCTGATCTCTGAATTGCCAAATCCTCAGCACAACATCCTCAACAAAGGACCCGCTCGATACACACTGAAATAACTATGAAACTCAGACTTGAAACTGGGAAACAGATTCTTCACGCTTTCAAAAGGAATTTTCATTTCATAAGACATTTCCCCACTTGAGTTCTTTAAATGGAAACGTCCTTGGTTATTTAAAATGAGATTGTGACTTGATTAGCTGAAACCTAAACCGATGGGCTAAGTTGATCTGTCATCCTCCCACGCCTTCCCTTTCCCCACCATCTTTGTAAGTTCAAACCCCACCTGTCCTTAGTAACAGTGAGTGGTGACTGGGGCTTTAGAGCAGACAGCCTGCTCCCTGCTGTGGACATGACCACAGTCTACTACCATAGCTGCTTCCTGGCCAGAAATATTCTTTTCCTCATTTTACACATGAGACAGCGCATGTTTGGAGAGTTTGGAACTATTTGCTTTATAAGAGTGGCCGAGGCAAAGCCTACACCCAGCCTGAGTGCTGAAACATGGCTCAGTGCCGACTCTTCTGCAATGCGACTCTTCTGCAATGCCAGCTCCTCTACGAGGCCCTCCTGACTCTAGACAGACCGGACTGTCTCATTTCTCTGGCTCCTGGCGTTCTCTCGGTCTTCTCGACCTCACATTCTATCCGGGGTGGTGGCCGCTTAGGTGTTGCTGCCCCCTCGCCCCTGCTGCCGTCACCCCCTCCCCTAGCGCTCACCCAGCACCGGTGGGCCCACTCCCCCGTTGCTGTTCCCAGTGATGCCAGGCTCCATGCCAGCCCCCCGGGGGCCTCGCTGAGTATTTCGGTTCCGTTATCTCCTGGTCCCTGAAGAGGGCGCTGGTGCTCTTCAGGAAGGCGGCTAGCAGAAGGTAGAGGCGACAGGACTCCTAGGGTTGGGGGGTCCTGAGGGGTGCTCGTGAAGTTCTGCTTTGGCCTGGGAAGCTCTATGACGTGCCCTCTAGGGCTGTTCCATCCCAGTAAGACCTGGAAACAAGCCAAGAGGCTCCAAGTGGGCTTGTGGCCCACAGCCTCCTGCTTGGCCTCCCTGCCTGGGCCCCTGAAAGGCCCCAGCCGGCCCTGTGGCTTGGTCCTGAGTTCAGGCCTGTCGCAGCCAACAGTGCCAGCTCTCGGTGCTCGGGACCCTGCCCGCGTCCTGCCGCCTTGCTTGCAGACCTGCTGGGAGAGGACAGGCAGAGCCCAGCTGGGCAGAGCCCTCACCCTCATCTCCACCGGTCACTCTGAGCACGTGCTGTCTTTCCCCTTTTCTTTGTAATTAACCTGGAACCCTGGGTGTAAGGGCTTCCTTGGTGGCTCAGTGGGTAAAGAATCCGCCTGCAGTGAAGGAGACCACCTGCAGTGCAGGAGACCTGGGTTCGATCCCTGGGTCTAGAAGATCCCCTGGAGAAGGAAATGGCAACCCACTCCAGTATTATTGCCTGGGAAATACTATGGACAGAGGAGTCTGGTGGGCTACAGTCCATGGGGTCGCAGAGCTGGACATGCCTTAGCAACTAAACCACAACCATTTGGGTGTGATCATCCTGGCCTCACACCCACTATCTCCCTGGATTGTGCTGGCAGCCCCCCTGTCGTGGAGGGGGTGGTCACTGATACTGCTCCTGTTATAATGAATACCTAAAGGAACTGAGGCTCAAAGTCCTTAAGGAAAGAGGAAGGGATGCAGCGTGTGGTCAGCCATCTGAGAAAGAGGGGCCTGGTGGGCCGGGGAGAGGTCCCCTGAGCCGAGAGCTGGCAGCGTCTTGTCCCAGGGCTGGCAGGGGTGGAGCTTTGCAGTGCCTCCTGGCAGCCACTGGAGCGCTCCTGGAAGGCACAGAGTCATGGAACTGGATGAAGGTGGCCCCCCGATTGTCCACCCAGGTCCTGTCCAGGGACCCCACAAATACACGGGAGCCCAGCAGGTAAGTGACTCACTTGGCTCTGCCCCACGTTGGCTCACAGCTGCTCATCAGGCTCAATGAATTTGGCAACCAGTCCGCAGAAAGGGCCTCGCCAGCAGCACCTGCACCACGGGATGAACCCAAAGGAACTTTCCTGCAGTGCAGACCGGGGGACGGGGAGGCAAAAATCTAACTGCTGTCTTTTCTCTCTTGCTTCTTCCTTCCCCTCCCCTTCCACCCCCTTTCACTCCCTCTCTTTCTCCCTTGTTTACTGGGGCAGAGGTACCGACAGGAGGAAAAGGTAATATTATGTTTTTCTTTGCGTTCAATGCCCTGCATTTGAAATATTCGAGTTCAAACTATCCATGGATCAGACTCTCTGAGAGAAAAGAGACTTTACAATTCTGCCTTCCTCAGGACCCTGTCTTCCATCAGATGCCCCGCACCCATCCATCTTCACATGGATCATGTGACCCCTGTCCCACCCCAGCCCCGAGGGGCTGTGCCAGACTCCTCCCCACTCAGCTACAAGGGGGCGGTTCTTGCCTCTAGATCTGGTGTGTGACAGATTTCAGAACGAAGGTTACAGCTTGCACTTGACAAGGCCTGGTGCCTATCTCAGACTTAATCCTTTAATTCTGCAGAAACTAAGGCTGCAGAGTGTAGCCTGGCAGATTAGGGGCATTTTGCTTGAGTCTCCACTTCTGCACACATTTCCCTTCAATCCAGAGACTTACAGGCTTTGGGATGCTTAATAATAGGTTGGATATATTTGATTTCACTCAACACATATTAATGAGGAATCTGCCATGTGCTAGGCATTGTGCTGGACTAGGAGGGTATAAAGACGACCCCTGGGTGTGCATACGGCTGGTGCCAGACTCAGAATTGAGGCGGCTGGCATACTTTCTTATTATGCCTCTGGGTGCATTCCTCATTGTTAATCGGGTCTAAAATGAAAGACTCCATCAAGGGAGTTGGACCACAGTAAAAGGGTGACGGGATCTTAACCATGTCACTCTCTCTGGGACTTTGTAGACTGCCGCATCCTTGAAGGCCCTGTTCAAGTTATATCTCTGCCGTGAAATCTTCCTTCCATTCATTCATTCAGCCAGAAAATCACAAGGGTGACAATACTGTGATAAGTATAGATAAGAATGCAGAGAGTATAAAGCATGGCCCCAGTCGCATCCTAGTAGGGGAGATTCCTTCATTCAACAAACACTGATTGATGGCCGTAGGTTATGGTCTCGGCATTGCACAAGGCTTAGGGAACACTGGCTATGAACTAGACCAAATGGCCCCTCCTCTCCCAGGGCATTAAGTCTGGTGAGCGACATGGAGGCGTAAGCAGCCAATCCCGGTAGGTTCTGCTCAGTGGCCGAGTGGAGGGAGGTGTGGGAAGCAATGAAGCTCACAGACAGGCTATTCCCTCTAAGTCCAGGGCAGGTTTCCCTGAGGGTGATTCACCTTGTACTTAAATAATCACAAGAGAAGGTGGTGACTGCTCAGTACCACCTGCGAGGTGCCCATGAGGATTAGTGCAACAAGACCTGCAGTGGCGAGGGCTCATCCCACCCTGGAGAAGTCTTCCTAGAAGGAGGGAGCTTTGGATTTGGGTCTTAGAGCTTCCAGAATGACTCCAGTACACTCTGGACTTTTTCTCTCCTGAAGCACTCCCAGGGGGTTTCATAAAAGTTAACTCAATTGTTTATGAAACGATTACATACTTCTTCTGCAGCTTGCTTTATTCTGTGTTTTTTTTTTTTTTCCTTTTGCCATCTGCCCATCCCTAGCATCATAAACCCCTGGTAGACTCTGGGGACCACAGCATCTCTTGGGTCCCCCCAGACCAGGGTGGTGTTAACACTGGACAAAGGGCACAGATCTGGGAGCCCAGGTGTATGGGCAGGTGTTCCTTGCTGCCCCTTTATCCCCTCCCCAGGACACATGATGCCCACGGGAAATCAGTGCAGCGCCATGGGGGGAGAGAACTTCTGAGTAGGTTCAGGGAAAGCTGAGCCTAGGCTCTGCCAGGGAAGGTCTTTAAATGGAGCAGAGGCACACAGTCAGCACAGCCTGCGAGAGATTTGCTTACACTTCACTTTTTAATTTTTTTGACTACACTACGTGGCATGTGGGATCTTACTTCCCTGACCAGGGATTGAACCAGTGCTCCCTGCAGTGGGAGCACAGAGTCTTAACCACTGGTCAGCCAAGGAAAGCCCTGCTTACACTTTAGATTATTTATTTATATTGGGAAAATTAACTGAATTGAGCTTTGAATAAAAAGGACTCTCTTTTTTCAGAAAAGCCATGAGGACAGTTAAAGGGTGGCATTTCCGACCAGACATCTACCATCAAACCACAGAGCTTCATTTTGGAAGCCACCAAGGGTTCACATGAGAGGTACAGAAGTAAGACACAGTAAGGAGTGTCCTGCCCACAGCGGGACAGCCCAGCTGGCCTCCAGCCTCTGGTGGCTTCCTAGGTGCCTGGAGGTATGATGGCAGGCAGGGTGGGCGTGGCGAGTCTGGAGCACTGTCTCTCTTCTTGAGCCCTTTCAGACAGAACAGACCATCAGTCTAAACTCAGGGTTTAGTCCTCAGGTGAGATGGGCTGAGCTAAATGGCTTGCCACGTTTTCCTGTTCCGCTTGTTCACAGATGGTGGGCCTTGCCCCAGTGTCCTGACCTGAGGACCTTGGCCAGGAATCTTCCCACTGCTCCTAAAATAGCCTCCCCATCCATCTCCATGTGTGACATCACCTGTAAAAGAGGTTTATCCTTTTTGGTCGAGATATGTCTTTCCTGGGTGTTCCTTGCAATAACACAACTTCCTCTAGTAGGCAAGTCAACATCCTTCAGCTTTCAACACAGTTTCTGGACACCAAGTATGTGCCCAGCATGATCCACAGAGCCGGGGACACAGCAAGGAGCCCAACAGCGCCCCTGGTCTCTTGAGCTTACATTGTGGAAGGGGAGACAGTCTGTAAACTGATCTACAATAGACCAGGGATGGCGGGGCGGTTGGGAAACATGAGACAGGCTGATGGGGGCAGTGTGTCATTGAGTACGGGGTGGTCAGGGAAGGCCACTCTCCTGGTTCAGGGCTTCCAGAAGGACCACAGCTCACCCTGGCCTTTCTCTCTCCAGAGCTTGGGAACAGCCAAGAAGCCAGAGAACTGGGTGTCAGGTGGAGACAGAGAGAGGTGGGAGCTGAGGTCAGATTGTGGGGCCAGGCAGGCTAGACAGACAGCCTGGGGTTTTACTCCCAGTGGTACAAGAAGCCATGGGAAGCCTTTGAGTGGAGCAGAGACATGATATGAGGATGCCTTACAAGCCCACTCAGCAGCCATAACCACCTTGGGCGTTCTGTGGATTGAGGCTGGAAGGAAAGCCTGGAGCTGGAGATACCAAGGGTGTTAAGGGCCAAGCCAGGGACCTGGGACTTTATTGTGAGGTCAGTGGGGTTCCATGGACGACTTTTGAGTAAGAGGGTTAGTCCTACTCCTCAGTTTAGAACAGAGGGCCCTAGCGTAGGGAAATGAGGTCACCTACCCCAGAACACTGGTAGCTCAGCTGGTAAAGAATCTGCCTGCAATGGCAGGAGACCCTGGTTTGATTCCTGGGTTGGGAAGATCTGCTGGAGAAGGGATAGGCTACCCACTCCAGTATTCTTGGGCTTCCCTTGTGGCTCAGCTTGGTAAAGAGTCTGCCTGCAATGCGGGAGACCTGGGTTCTAGCCCTGGGTTGGGAAGATCCTCTGAAGAAGGGAATGGCTACCCACTGCGGTATTCTGGCCTGGAGAATTTCATGGACTGTATAGTCCATGGGGTTGCAAAGAGTCAGACATGACTGAGTAACTTTCACTTTCACCCCAGAACACACAGCTAGATCAAGGTAGAGCTGGGAGGGAAAGCCAGGTCTTTGGATTTCCATTCTAGTATAGTATGAGGTTTCTCCTGAATGAAAGGAGATAATTCTTTAGCACCTTCTAACTTTCATGCACAACTCAAGTACCAACCCATCTAATTTTAAGAGCAACCCTAAGAGGTAGACATTATTATTATTTCCATCTTACAGGGAAGGGAACAAGGCACAGAGGGGTTGAGCAATGCGTTTGAAAGTACATGGCTAGTAAGTAGTAGAGCAGGCATTTTAGCCCAAACAGCCTTGATCAGGAGTCCATGCAGTCAACCAACGGCTGCAGGGCTGGCTACGTCTTCAGGATGCAGTGGGAAGTGGGCGGGGCACCGACACCAGGACCAGTTACC